ACATAGGCATCATGTCTCTGAGCACCTCCATCACTTGCTTGCACATGCCATATCTGCTCCCAGTCTGTCTCTCCTAGTCTTTGACACAGTCCAGAAATGCAACTTCAGCTAGAATTGGATTTTCTTCACCTTGATGTGGCCCAGGGCTCCCGCCAAAAACAAGAGTATTGTGCCACAAGAAATCTACAAAAACTAACCCAAGCCTAGAAGCTGTCTTCTAGGCTCAAAGCCCTCTCTACCGGTCATCAATCAGAGATGCAACTTTCCTAGATGAGTGCCGCAAGGAAGGACAAACCTAGGCGCCAAGTAGACTGGGCAAGAAGCACCCAAGGAGATACAAGTTCAAGACTCCAAACTGCACATCATTTCCCATCAATCTGTTATGTTTGTTATCCTCAAACCACCAGAGGGAGCCAAACTTCACGGTCCAGAGGGAAGAATTAGGAGAGAGGAATGTCAGCATTTACCCAGACCTCTTTATTATAAAAGGAGGGCAGGGTTGAACTGGCAGGCAGCTCCCAGGATGGCACACTATAAAACAGGATTTCTCCTAGAATTATTTGAAAAAAAACAAAAAAAGTCCAGTTAAGGGTCTTACCTCCAGCAGCACCCCCAGCAGCAGCAATGAGGAGCGAGGAGCGGGAGAGACATCAGACACCCTTCCAGTCCCCCAGCCAACTAATGAGACTGAGGCACCCTCAGAAAACTCTGGGATTTTAAAGAACTTTCCAGAAGCAGGCAGCAGTCAAAAGTATAAGTAGCGTATTTATCTCTCAAAGCAGCAGGGGATAATGAAGAATGAGACCCTAAAAGGGAATCCTTAGTGATTTCCTGCATGGGAAGTGAGGCTAGGCACTGTGGTTGGGAGGATGCTCCCACAGACTCCAGGAATTGGAGCTCCCTTTCTACTTTGAAGCATGCCTGCCTGGAAAGTTCTTCACCCAATAGCGGGATCTGGCCCTCCCCTCCTCAAGCCTCTTCTTCCCACTGGTGGGTTTGGGGGAAAGGACTTTTTGTCCTACATCCCCTTCCCCATCTGTCTGGCTTCAGTGGTGATGCCTGACTCTACCTGATGCTCTGGACTCTAAACTCCTGCCCGCACCTGGGCCCCCAAGTCCCAGCTGGGTTTGCACTTCGTGAGGCTGCTTGCTGTCCCCTCTCTGATCCACGGTCTTCAAATGTAGAACACAATGGATTCCCCTTTATTTTCTCCAAACCATTTGTTTGTAACCGACTTTTACTAAAAATCTCAAGTATCAGAGTAGGGCTTCAACACAGCATAGAGAAGATGGTAACTCAAAATGGAATCTGAAGATATTTAATTAAATTAATTTAGTTGACATCCATCCTCCCTTGGAGGAATTTCGAACTCTCAGTCCCAGTTTTCTCCCTGCCTCTCTAACCCCTCCCCTTCTTCCCCTTGCTGTTTCCTTCTCCCTGCTCAGCCCTTGGAGTTTTCTCCCAGGCCCACTTCTCTTCTCCCCTTCCTTGACAATCTCCTTCCCTCTCCTGGCTTCCATCCCAAAACAGGTTTGCGCCTCTGGCCTGGCTCTTTTTCTCCGAGCCCAGTGATTACCCCTTCCTGGCTTTCTACAGTGACTCCAAACTCCACACGGGTTCTGTCCCCACAACCCCCTCCTTTGGGAGTGTGTCCTGTTTGGCCCATGGCCGTGTCATCTACCCGGTCATTCAAGTCAGAGCTGTCGGAGTCATCTCTGACTCCTCCCTTTTTTTGCACCCAGTTGATGATTGCATCCTGTGGATTCTATTTTCAAACCTTCCACCCCACCTTCTAAGCCAACATTGCCAGCCATCTGGGTTATTACCACTAGCAGCTCTTCGTGACACCACACTTGTCCCTTTTTGTTTCATTCTTTACACAACACCCAAGGTGACCTTTTAAAACCAAACTGGTTACCATCTTGCTTAAATCCCTGATGGCCGCCCACAGCTGTTTGGATAAAGGCTGACACCTTAGCATGACCTTGGTACTTGGGCTCCTGCCTGCCTCTGCAGCCTCAGGGCTCGCCTTCACTGTCCACCCTCTCTTGTAGCCATGCTGAACTCTTCAGTTCTTCAGACTCACTACGCTCTCTCTCAACTCTGGATCTTCAACCATGCTGTTCCCTCTCCCTGGAATTCTTTCCCCTTGTCACTTTGTCAGATTCAAGACAAGGAGACACCTCCCTGCTCTATGTTCCACGCCACCACCACTTTGAACGTCTCCTCTCGGGCCAAATTGCTTTTTAATATCTGTCATTTACACCTGACCATAAGCTGCCTTAAGCAAGATCCGTGTCTGTCTTATCATTGCTATATCCTTGGCATCTAACACCACGTATGGCACAAGCAGGCCCTCAGTTAGTAGTGTCAAATTAATCTGGAGGAACGTCAGCATTTGCCCAGACCTCTTTATTATAAAAGGAGGGCAGGGTTGAACTGGCAGGCAGCTCCCAGGATGGCACACTATAAAACAGGATTTCTCCCAGAATTCTTTGGAAAAAAAAAATAGTCCAGTTAAGGGTCTTACCTCCAGCAGCACCCCAGGAGGGCGAATTGATTCAGGGCTGTGTGTGGCTACATAATCATGACAAGAAAACATGTCTGGGGAGGCCCAGACAGCTGACCAGACCACTGTAATACCTCGTATGGCTATGATACAAGATTCCTGATGTAATTAAATCTTGTTCTGATGAATCTAACCAATTTCTCTATTGCTTTGGTGATAAGTACTTAACCTTGTGACTTCTACTTTCAGCAACTCACAAAGAGAGAAAACTAAGCCCATACAGTCCTGGAAGGACTTTGGGGAGAACTCCCCCAAATGGTCATGGGCTGACTCTCCCAGCCAGGGTGGGAGGTAACGTAAGACAGTGAACAGCTACAATAAGTAGAGAGGCTGGATCACAGCCTTGCTTTATGAAACCGGTTCAGACAGACAAAAGGAGGCCCTGGCAGAGATGAGCGAATGGATGCCAGAGGCTTCATGGAAGTAAATTCTACAGGACTTGGCCATGATTGAATCTGATGTATGTCAGAGGCAATTATGGAGGTCAGGACTCCCTGCTGAGAGGCCCCTGGGGGTCCAGAGTAACACAGACACGAACCAGCAGGATCTTAGATATTGATACAGGTTACACCACGTTTACAGAATCACCAGGAGAGCTATACGATGTTCCCCACCTAATTCTAACTCGGCTCATTTACATCCAGGAAATCTTTACACACTGAAATATTAGGTGATTTCCTCCCAGTTTCAACTCTCAGCCCCTAGCCCCTTCCATCACCATAACAACCATGCTATGATAAGCAATTGTGGCATTATCTGGAAGGACCTTTACCCCTGTTGGAGGTTTAGTCTTCCTCTGGTTACTGTTCAGCTTTCTGTGACAAACAGAACCATCCCCTCCCGCACCCTTCCTTCCACTCCCCTGCCCCGCATCCCTAAGCACTGACACACTTCCAGATAGATCCATGTCCAGACAGATCCTGGCTGCATTCCACACGCATGTATCCTCATGAGGATTGCCTGGGTTCTTCCACGTGGATGATTGCTGGGTCAGACAAATCCCGAAATTAAATCATACATGACAATAAGGATCAAGGCAAAGTCTAGATGTTTAAGGATCAAAAGGGGTACAAATGTGGTAAAGCCCAAATCTATTCCTAACTATCTGGGAGACCTCAAGCAACTTACCTGTCTGAGACTCAGTTTCCTTAATTTCAATCAAGATATTACTAGTATTATAGCAATTTTATGAGAATTAAACAAAATGACATATATAAAGTACTTAACTCAAAGCCAGGTATATAACAAACGCTCAAAATCTGTTCTGATCACTGAACTGTAAAGCCGGAAGGATTTCATTGCCTTGTTCATTGCTGTGTCAGTGACTCCATGAGTTCATGGTCCAGGGAAGGTGCTGAGTTAATACTCGTTGAAAGAATGAATGAGGGCTATTATTCTGTTTAATAAGCCAGGAAATGCAGGATGAAAGACAGTGAGAGGAGAGAGGGCAGGCAAAGGGGCTTGCTTATGGAGAACAAAGGGAAGAAATATTAACCAAAGTGCTGTCCAAACCCAAGCCAGTAAAGCGGAAGGTCAAAGAATAGCTGTCCTCATTTTGATTGAGGACACCTTGAAGTACTGTTTTCAATACTGGGTGATGGAAAAAGTTGCTGCTACCATCAGCAGGCAGAGGGATCGTGGAAAAAACAATTTGGGAGAGAAAATCTGAAATAATGTAGGTTTTCACCTATTTAATTTGAAGTGTTAACTGCTCACTCAGGAAAGTTGTTAATCAAGCAATAATACTCTTACTAGCTCTCATAAAAGAGAGGATGTACCTGGTACTCCAAAAAGAGGTTCAAGCTGGAAAGACAGAAGGTGCCAAGGCTGTGGTTGAAGCCACGAAAAAGTGGAGAGACAGAAAGAATGTTAAGGACAAACCCCTAAAAAAGTCATTGTGGCCTGGTGCAGTGGCTCACGCCTGTAATCCCAGCACTTTGGGAGGCTGAGGCAGGTGGATCATGAGGTCAAGAGATCAAGACCATCCTGGCCAACATGGTGAAACCCCATCTCTACTAAAAATACAAAAATTAGGCGGGTGTGGTGGCATGTGCCTGTAGTCCCAGCTACTTGGGAGGCTGAGGCAGGAGAATCACTTGTACCTGGGAGGCAGAGGTTGCAGTGAGCTGAGATCTCGCCATTGTACTCCAGCCTGACGTCAGAGTGAGATTCCATCTCAAAAAAAAAAAAGAAAAAAGAAAAAGAAAAAGAAAAAAAAAAGTCACTGCAAGCAGATAAAGAGAAGCCATTTCAAAAATAACACTTTTTCCTGATTTCTTGTCTTCAAAACTTGTTGGCTTCCGTTGTAGAAAGGAATAATCAGGGAGGTCTATTGGACTGATCAGAATTATGTGAGGAAACAGGAGAATCATAACTTTGGCCACTCTATATCCCAGCAAAATGGACTACTGAAAGATTGCGACTCACATACCTGAGAATATACAGCTCTTCCTCATTGTATGGCACTGATCTGCTTTAATCTTGGCCGCTGAGAGTAAGTAGGCCTCAGAGACGTCATAGCCGGCCTCCAATAATACATTCCAGAAGTGAATGAGGTGCAGCCTTGTCCAGAAGCCCGGGCTTTGGATTTTTGATATAAAGTCTATGATACTTGTGATACAATATATTAATAGATATAATTTTAGTATTTCAGGCCTTAAAGGAAGCTCTTCTATTTACCATATTTCAGTAGCCTGTTCATAAACATCTTACCTAACATATCTTTTGGAGGTCACCAGATAAATATGAGCCTTTCACTCTTCAGCAGTCAAAGCCAATTCTCCTGATCCACCCAGGAAACCCCCTCCTCTGAGAAGGCTCCCTGGGTCTACCAGGCAGAACACCAGGCCCTCCCTCTTCTGTGCTTGCAACAGTTCGTTGCGTCATTGCTCTAGTGAGGCATTACCACCATGTATAGTAATTCTCTGGCTCCACATCTTCCCCCACTAGACAGAAAGCACCTACAGGCTTAGAGCTGTATCTGTTCACTTCTGCACCCTCAGGGCCTAGCAGGTTGTGGGAGACAGGATCGGTCATAAATAGATGTTTGCTGAATTAATGAGTAATAGGAAAAGAAGAAAGAGACAAGGAAGGGAAGGGAGGTGGGTGGGAGGGAGGGAGGGAGGAAGAAGGAAGGGAAAGTAGTGTAGGGAAAAGAAGGGAATGGAAAGGAAGCAGATAGCAGGGTCTAGCAAAGCTTGCCCAATCTTTTACCCTTTTCCAGCTCTCATCCTTGCCCTCCTCTCTCTGGAATGCCACTTAACTTTGAGAGGACTCCATATAGAGTGAAGAGGAGAAATGAACACTGCAGAGCCTGATAGACCAAGGGGAGTAACCCTGGAGACCCAGCAACCACAGAAGTTGCTGCCAGAGGACAGTTCCATCTGAATGAATGAATGGGTGGTTGAATGGATAAATGAATGATACAACTTGTTCAAGGGAACCATGGGTATCTAAACATAGCACCGGTAAAAGAGAAAGCTAAATCTGCCTAAATACAATGATATAAAAATGGCAAGACTTACCTAGGGCTTGAGAGAAAGCCGCACAAACCCCGCAAGCATCCACTCATTTTCATATGCCATGGCAATTCTTGATACACTCTCCAGAAAGAGGTTTGCCGCTGGAAGTATCTGATCAACACTTGGTGAAAATATGTTTTCTTGTGATTCATTGGGCTCTGAAATGAACATGGACTGCTTTCTCTGACAGGAGCGATTACACCTATTTAAACATCAATTACAGTTTAACGCCTCTGACTTTTTAGTACATGAAAATACTACAGCAAAAATATGACAACTCTGTGGCTGTAATTAGAGAAATAAAAGTCAAGGTAGCTGGAAAAAAATTGTATCTCATACATCAGTCTGAATTTACCAAAGAATTTGTTCTAGTTACGCTTGCTGACCTAGAATTAGAGAAGTTTGTGGGCATGTTGATTTCCCATGTTAAGTCTTTCCCCTCCCCCAAGGAAACATTTTCAACCTACTTTTCTACGTTAAATATACACTATGGTTACTGCTTAAATAAGCACTTTTGAACATTTGAGAGTGTACATTTTGGAGAAGTTAAGCCATTGCCTGGATCTCATATGAGCCAAGGGGTAGCTGGCAAACAAATGGCAAATTTGATATTGGAGCCAGGATTACTATATCTTCATTTCCAAAGAGAAATGGTTCCAGTAGATCATACTGCCCAGACATAAGCTTCTCAAAAACAAAAGCATTTGTTTAACTAAATCCTGGTGATCTCTAACCTTGAAAACTAAAATAGAAGTATTTTTAAATTTTCTGCTTGTCACTTTTTCTTGCAAGATAATGGAACACACAGCTAGGTGGCATACCAAGCCCAGCTCTTTGTAAGAACTCTAACCAAAGAGGAACTCACTGTTTAAACAACCATTCTTCATTTCCATTACATGATTTCCAGGTCACCCACCCATATGGAGAGACCCCGTGCTACCTGGTCTAAAGTATGCAGATGTGCCCAGACAGTAAGTGCAGTGCCTAACAGGCCCCTCAAGAGAAAAAAAAAACTCCTCCACTGTGTGTGGCAAAACTATGTGTGTGGTTATAAATCAGGAAAGTGGGATGGGAATGAGGGAGAAAAAGAACTGGCATAAATAGTACCTGGGTTCAAAATCTGGAGAGTTAAACACAATACGTAAAGTATGGAAAACATTTTCATAGAAAACGCAGCATTTAATTTAAAATAACCTCATGAGGAGGATATAGATATGCATTCCCATATGGCAAAATCAGAGAGACAGGTGACTTACCCCTGGTCAGCACATGACCAGTAACTGCAGAAGTAGCAATCCAATCTTCTGGTTTAATGCCATTGCTCCTCCAACTACACATATGATGTGAGGAATGGTTTGAGCCCAGCATCATCTTTCCATACACAGTGCAGCACTCAATGATAGACTAAATGGCCACTGTTTACGTAGTGCTAGATTGGTGGGCTAGATTATGCTGTACTGATAGACAACCCCCAATCTCAGTAGCTTAAAAGAGCAAAGGTTTATTACGACCATCACAGGTTGGAGACTGGGAACTCCAATCCAGGTCTCCTCCCTGTGGAACTGACAGAGCAGTCGCCATCTTGAATGTTGCCAGTGGCCACTTAGTCACAAGGCCCCACCCAACAAGGGGGGCCAGGAAGTGTTTTCCATGGTGGGAGGGGGAGGGCGGGCTAGAAATATTGGCATTTGGCTCAAATGGCCACCATTAGTGCTTATTGTAGTGCCAGATCCTGTACCTTACATGAATTAGCATTTTAATACCCTCAAGGCAAATACTGTTATCCCTATATTGCAGGTGAAAAACTGAGTCTTAGGGAGGTAAGTAAGCACCTCGCGTCAGGTCACGCCAGTTCTGTCCAACTCCAAAGCCATTGCTCTCCCCAAGAAATCATTTCTAGTAAGATGCCATGGTGATTTCCAGAAGCAGGGAAGGTGGGTTCTGTTTGCCAAACAGCATGCAGACCTGAGCATGAGATGAGGACAGGGACAGGGAGCGATGAGGCTACTCATGTTCCAGAGACCACAGTGCTGTGTACAGATAGCTCACACCTTCTCTCCTGTGCTCAGCCCTCCAGCTCCTGATTCCAGGCAGATACTGGAGGCTGAGGTTTAGTACTGAGTCTCAAAACAATAGAGATGAAAGCTGCTAGAAACAGCAGATCCAAAAAACCAGCAGCCAGGCATACCTGCACATTCATTCAGTAAACATCTATTCAGTGAAACTAGAACGGGTCTCAGGAAACTCAGACTTGCTTGAGGGTGCCTGAGATCTTTAGGCCCACATAATTCAAGATCACCAGTTGATTTTTGTATCGCATTTATTTAAAAATTTGCGGCCGGGCAAGTTGGCTCATGCCTGTAATGCTAACACTTTGGGAGGACAAGGCGGATGGATTACCTGAGGTCAGGAGATCGAGACCAGCCTGACCAACACGGAGAAACCCCAACTGTTGTGAAAATACAAAATTAGACGGGAGTGGTGGCACATGCCTGTAATCCCAGCTACTCAGGAGGCTGAGGCAGGAGAATCACTTGAACCCACGAGGCAGAGGTTGCAGTGAGCCAAGATCACAACATTGCACTCCAGCTTGCGCAACAAGAGAAAAAAAAAAAAAAAAAAAAAAGAAAAGAAAAAGAAAGAAAGAAAGAAAGAAAAGAATTGGCGCAGAGACAGAATCTATTTACCTCTTCTTTGTTAGTGTCAGAACACCACCTTGGTTTGGGGCAGCAATGCACCAAGTCGAAACCTCCACCCCCAGCTTCCCTCATATCTAGCTGTAGCCAACTAATGAAGTTCTGAGTCAAAGACACTTAAGTGGAAATGTTGGTATGAAATTTCCAGAAAAGCTCCTTAAAAGAGCAGCAAGGCCTTCTTCCTCCCTTCCTCCTTCCTGATGGCTAGAGCTCCAGCAGCCATCCAATGAGGTGGCCTTGAGAATGCACGCAGTATAGTGAATCAGGGACACAGAAGGAGCTGGGCCCTAGGTGACTCTGTGGAGCCAACAGAGCAGCTCAGGACTGCCTGTTCCCAGAAGTCTATTATAGGAGAGAACAAACCGCAGCCATTGAAGTCAGGTCTCAGTTACTCATAATCAAGTACAAACCCTAACATATAACCATTTTCATACATGTCTATGGATTTGTTTCTATGGGAAAAATCCCAACTACAAGGCTTCCCTTGTATGTAGCTCCTGCTTTCTCTTAACCTCTTAACCAGCAGGTATTTCCACAGACCCAAGCCTTACTTACCAAGAAGCTTGTGCTCCACTGCACTTCTCAGGGACTGGTGCCAGAAATACAGAAGGCCATTGGGCTTCTCCTGGACCCACTGTTTGGTGGCATTGCGGAAGGCAGCCCAGTGCAAAGTGGCCACTTTGCAATGATTCCTGTAGCCCAGCATGTCCAAAAGCTGGAGTAGCTCATCCTCAGCCAAGCCACCATGCGACAGGCACAGTAAGCACAGAGCATCGGCCACCCAGCCATCCAGCCCTGCGCAGGCAACACGATGATGACAAGAATAAGAGCTAACATGAGCCAGGTATCTTTCCAAATGTTTTATATGATTCAACAACCTTCTTTTTCAATCATCCTATAGGAAATACTATTATAGCCCCTGTCAAATGAGGAAAATGGAGCATAGAGAACTGAAATAACTTACCCAAGGTCACACAGAAATAAAGGCAGAACTGGGATTTGAACCCAGATAGCCTGGCTCCAGAGCCCACACATACTGTTAACCATTAAGCTATCGTCCATTGTCACAACGAACACACCGAGAGCTCTGGTTACACACTGGCAAGTTTGCTCATTATTACACCGAGCATTTCTGCCTAGCAGTCTTTATTAAGGTTTTCCAACACCTAATTTGCATTTAAGGCTGTGAGTGGTTTTTCTGTATGATTGTTCTACTGTTAAACACAGTCACAGACACCACTTAAGCCAGCTCTTCATTATCCACCTGACCCTTAGATTTTTCCACCATAGCTGGACCTCCTTCTGGCTTTATAATCAACCGACTATAAAGAGATCCTTCAGACCATTCAGAGAAATGGTAACGCATAGTCTGCCACTCTGACTTTATCTCCCATGCTAGGACTGGGGAATGAGCCCAAATTACCTGCAATGTTGAAGCAAAGGCAGAGCTGTGCAACCCCAGTCAGTCACGCTTCCCTGAGGTTGGCCTTAGCGCTTTTTTTTTTTTTTTTAAAGACAGGGTCTCAGTCTGTCACCCAGGCTGGAGTACAGTGGCACAATTATGGTTCACTGTAACCTCAACCTCCTGGGCTCAGGCAATCCTTCCACCTCAGCCTCCCTAGTAGCTGGGACTATAGGTGTGTGTCACCAGGTCCGACTGATTTTTTGTATATTTTGTAGAGACAGGGTTTCCCATGTTGCCCAGCCTGGTCTCAAACTACTGGGCTCATGTGGTCCACCCACCTTGGCCTCCCAAAATGCTGGAATTAGAGGTGTGAGCCATTACACTCAGCTGGCCTCAGCTTAACCAACCTCTTCCTGCACCTGTGGCTGAACTCCCTGGGCCTCAGTGGGGGTGGATGGGCAGAGCTGGGAGGTGGAGCAGTCTTTGATGGGGAGGAGACCCAGGCTTTCCTGCACAAACCTGGAGATGGAGGGCAACGCAGCCACAGGCCACTTTGCCTGAGTGACTATTCTAAGGGCACAGAGAACTAGTTTCCATCTCCTTGTAGGAGCAGGAGGGCGCAGTAAATTTGAAGTCAATTTTCTTTACAGAAATGCAAATTGTAGAGCAAAAAAACAGGGCAGGACAATATGTTGCACCAACCAATGTGCCTTTCTTTCTTTCTTTCTTTTTTTTTTTTTTTTTTGAGAAGGAGTCCCGCTCTGTCGCCCAGGCTGGAGTGCAGTGGCACGATCTTGGCTCACTATAACCTCCACCTCCCGGGTTAAAGCAATTCTCCTGCCTCAGCCTCCTGAGTAACTGAGATTACAGGCATGTGCCACCACACCCAGCTAATTTTTGTATTTTCAGTAGAGGCAAGGTTTCGCCATGTTGCCCGAGCTGATCTCAAACTCCTGACCTCAAGTTACCTCAGAATCCCAAAGTGCTCGAATTACAGGCATGAACCACCATGCCCAGCTGTGTCTTTCATTCCAAGTATTTTCTATTTCTCACCCCCACTTCCCCATCCCTGCTCCATTCTAAACTCACTGACCTTAAGAGGAGACTTACAGCAGAGACAAAGAGGGAAAAACTCAAGTTTCAAAATAGACTTTTGAAGTTCATGGCAGTGACAATGGCTTGAGGGAACAAATTTTGACTCTCAAAAGCCTGATTGTTGAGTATCATAAAAACACATTCCTGGAGCCAGGCAAGGTGGTAGCACACCTGTAATCTCAGCTACTCAGGAGGCTGAGGCAGGAGGATCCCTTAAGTTGGAGGCCAGCCTGGGCAACATAGTGAGACCCTAGATTAAAAAACAAAACAAAACAAAACTCGTAACACATGGAATAATTTTTTTTTATGACAAACAATAAACTCAGATAAGCCCAGGGTGATCTAAAGAGGATTTTTTCCCCCACTCAGGAGGAAAAGCATTTGTGAAATTGAGAAAGTATAGGAGAGAATCAGAGAGGAGAACAAGACTCAAGCAGAGCACAGAAGTTGGCAGAGGAGAGAGGACCCTCTGTTAGGATGTGGCCCCTGTCAGCCAGAAGCCACAGAGATCCAGCAACCTGAGAACAGATGGGCACACGAGTATCCTAGAGGAAGCCGAAAGTGCAGAGAAGTCAACATCTATGGGACATGGAGACCATGGAGACCAGCAGGGACAGAGGACAACCAAGGCCACCTAGCACCCAGGCCCTTAGAGCTCAGATCAACCCAAAGGAGACACGGGAAGGCCACAAATCCTCCCTCAACTGAGAAAATCCTGAGCTCACTGAAAACAAAACATATTGATGGAATTAACCTGAATGGACTGGATGAGGTATCTGCCATTAGCAGGCCTGTGGGCTCAGAAGAGAGACACATTGACTTATAAAAATAAGAAAGCTCCATTTCTTACATTCTTGGAGAATGTGACTGAAATCTATGTCTAACACAGTTCTCCTTACAGCCAACACACAGAGTCCTTTAGAGGAGGCAAATTTAGCAAATAAAAATACAGGATGCTCAGTAAAATATAAATTTCAGATAAATAATAAATTAATTTTTAGTGTGAGTATGTCCTGTGTAATATTTAGGACATTCTTATACTGAGAATTATTTGTTATTTATCTGTAATTCAAATAATTGTTAGCATAGGTATGTCCCGTGCAATATCTGAGACATACTTCTACTAAAGATTATTTGTTGTTTATCTGAAATTCAAATTTCATTGGGCAGGCCGGGCATGGTGGCTCACGCCTATAATCCTAGCACTTTGGGAGGGCGAGGCAGGTGGATCACCTGAGGTCAGGAGTATGAGACCAGACTGGCCAACATGGTGAAACTCTGTCTCTACTAAAAATACAAAAAATTAGCTGGGTGTGGTGGCGGGTGCCTGTAATCCCAGTTACTCGGGAGGCTGGGACAGGAGGATCTCTTGAACCCAGGAGGCAGAGGTTGCAGTGAACCAAGATCGTGCCACTGCACTCCAGCCTGGGTGACAGAGTGAGACTCTATCTCAAAAAAAAAAAAAAAAAAAAATGTCATTGGGCATCCTGTGTTTTCTCGGACAACCCTGTCCCTAGAGTCCCCTTCCCTGTGCAGGAGTCCACCACACATCTTTCTCCCTGTGGACTCCCACAGGGTTGTCAACAATGGCCAAGGCCTACCTTCTCCTGAAGCCACAGTGTCTGAATTTGACCTTTTTGGTTGAAAAGTCCAACTGTAGTCTTCAATCCAGCGTTTGAGAACCAATTCCCAGAGCTCCTGAACAGAGACAGCCTCCAAGTACTCCTTCATACACTGAAACTCATTGTGGTAGATTCTACATTCTTTCAATTCATTGGCTAGGATTGTGAGTTTTAAAGGACTCAGGTCTGGTTTTTTCCTCAAAGACTGTCTGCTCTGTTGGAAGGGGTCCATGTTGGGAATGGAGAGATGCTTTCTAAAGATGTTTAATTTTGTTTCTTCATCTCCTGTGCTAATGAGTTCCACTGTCCTCACATCCGGGCGGGCACACAATGACTTGTAGGACAGGCTGGAAGAGACGGTGCTCATGATAAATTTGCAATGAGGGGAGAGTGAGTGTGGCAGCCAGGAGAAATCTTTTGCCTGATGGAGAGAATCAAAGATATTTGAAAACATTAAAGACTTTAAAATTACTTTGTTGATGGTTTTTCAACTTAGAGTAGGTACAATATAGGGAGTAAGTATAGAATAAGGGTTGGAGTGAAGGTTATAAATAGTAACTTGAATTGCAAGCATTAAGTGCTAAGAAAATATCAAGTCACAATAGAACCGTATTTGACTCATGTGTCAGTTATGAATTTGATTGTGCAAATGTGAACTCTAAAAAGAGGTTCTTAGGAGCAAGTAATTTAATAAAATCACATACTTCTGAAGACTGACCTACAGGAATAACCAGAGGAAACTGGAGAGCGCAATTGGAACCATTCAGTTGAAAAAGAGGATGTTATTTTATGCTGAGAAGTTGTCACTTTGTGCAGCAATACTATCACGAGTTAAATCATTTTATTTCGGAACAAAATAAATACCTAATAAGATCAATCTTTTCTCAATTCCTTTAATAGCCTTTCCCACAATACCTCTTTGCCTAATAACACCAACCATCACATACTCAGTCTGAGCCAGGCACTGTGTTGAATGTGTCTGTAGGTACTAACTGTATTAATTATGGTTTTTAATTTCTGCATCTTAGGATTATTTAACATTCCTCAGGACCTTACACATCCAGCCCTTCCCAAGGCTAGCTAACTCCTGGGGGTGGTGGACAGCCTGCCTGGAATCTGCCTTTAGCGTGCAGATCTAACTCACACAACAACCCTGCCCTAAATCACCCCAGGGCCAGGTACCAGACAACTAGAGGCAGCCTCTGTGCCCAAAGCCCATCAGAATTATTCAAATTAAGCCTGGGCAACATAGGGAAAACTCATCTGCACAAAAACACTTTTTTTTTTTTTTTAGTTAGCTGGGCATGATGGCTCATACCTACAGCCTGCAGTCCCAGCTACTTAGGAGGCTGAGGTGGGAGGATGGCCTGAACCCGGGAGGTAAAGGCTATGATTGCCATGATTGCACCACTGCACTCCAGCCTTAACTACAGAGCAAGATGCCATCTCAAAAAAAATAAATAAATAAAAATAAAAATAAAAAATTCAAATTAGCCAACCCTAAACTGTTTACCCTGCCCTGCCTTGCCATTCCTATAGAAACCCCAGGCTGGGCACGGTGGCTCAAGCCTGTAATCCCATCACTTTGGGAGGCCGAGGCGGGCGGATCAC